CTCCTGAGAGCTTCAGACAAGTCCTTGATGTATGGCAGGACCACCAACCCTTTGGACTTTGTTCCTGCTGAGGGTTTGGTGTTAGGAGGTTTTGGGCAGGTCGCTTTGTTGATGGCCCACTGGGGGTAGCCACAAGTTTTTAATGCCTGGGTCAGGTGGGACTTCTCAGTCTCTAAATCCTGTGGATCTGACACTATGGTGTTGGCTCTGTGAAATAGAGTCCTAATCACCCCTAGTTTGTGGTCAAGTGGATGGTTAGAGTCAAAGTTTAGGTATTGATCCGTGTGTGTGGGTTTCCGGTAAATCCGTATCTGTAGTGACCCGTCCTCCTGTATGACTGTAAGGGTGTCAAGAAAAGGTAAAGATCTGTTCTGTTCCTCCTCAGTAGTAAACTTAATATCAGGGTCTAAACTGTTCAGAAAGTCTGTAAATTCCTGTGCATGTACTTTCTTCAACTTCGTGTGAGTGTCATCAACATAACGATACCACCAAAGTGGGGGGTGGGGGCGAGTGTTAATAGCCAACTGTTCTAGATGTTCCATGTAAAGGTTACAGACAATGGGAGAAACTGGGGAGCCCATTGCTGCACCATGAATTTGCTGATAAAACACTTCATTGTGTACAAAGTACGTGCACTCCAAACAGATCTTTAAAAGGCTTACAACATGTTGGGGAGTGAGAGTTGTACGTTGTGCTAGTGTGGTGTCGTTCTGGAGTCTACTTGCTATAACATCCAAAGTCTTATCAATAGGAACTGAGGTAAACAGGGCTGTAACATCGAAGGATCTGAGTTCCTCGTCCTCTTCTACACGTTGGTCTTTTATGAGTTCCGTAAAATGTTGGGAGTTCACAATATGATGGGGGGACTTGCCAACCAAAGGAGAAAGTATGTCAGCCAAGAATTTTGCACTGGGGTAAGTAATGGAACCAATACTACTAACGATGGGTCTAAGTGGTACACCAGTCTTATGAATCTTTGGAAGTCCGTAGAATTTCGGTGGAGTGTCTGTTGTAGGGTAAAGTTTTCTATAGGTAACTCTATTGAAGCCCTGTTCCTTCTCAATTTGTTGTGAGACACTTATCAGCTGTTTCTTGTACTTAGGAGTCGGGTCTGTCTTTCCCAGTCGGAGATACGTGTTTTCGTCGTCGAGTAACGCTCTACACTTCTGTTGGTAATCCTCCCTGTTTAACACTACTACGGCACGTCCTTTATCAGCCGGAAGTATTAGAATGTTCCGGTCTTGTTTCAGGGATTTTAGAGCGGTTCTTTCCTCTTTGGACAGGTTGGGGGTGATCTTCCTGGGGCCCCCGAGAACCTGGGAAACCTTAGCGCGTAGAGAGCTAGCTTCTCTCGGGGCGAGTTTTCTGCACGCTCCCTCGGTCTGCGCGATAATGTCAACAACCGGAATTTTAGGCTGTGTAGCGGCGAAGTTCAGTCCCTTCGCGAGAACGGAGAGTTCCGGGTCGTTGAGTATCCTGTCAGAACAGTTCTTGACCCATTTTCGGATACAATCCGCCGCTAGGGAAGGTTTGTTGTTGTCCTTCTTTTGAACTAAGTGCGCGAATTTATCCTGTTGACGTGATTTCGCAATGGAATGTTCCCGGATGTACGACCTTTCGACCCTTGACCTGACCTCTGTTACAATATCCGCCGGAAGAGCTTGGTCTAGCGTGGATTCCAAGCGAGTTTTCTGATTGTCTAAACGCTTGAGTTTCTGGACTGTTTGACCGATACGTACGTTTAAAAGCTGTTTTTCCGCACGTTGTAAGATATTCCTAGCCTTTTCTCCTCGTACAGAGCTCGATAGACTTTAAGACACATTCTTGTTGCGCCCAAGGATAAAACCCCCAAAGAGAAGAAGTGTGGTGTCATCTACCACATCCCCTGCCAGGGCAAGAATAACAGGGGGCCCTGCCAGGAAACTTATATTGGTGAAACGGAGAGGTCTCTAAAAGCCAGGTTTCAGGAACATACACGGCCTAGTTCTGCCAGTTCAGAGGTGTCTCAACACATTCACATTGAGTCACCCGGACACCATGTTTCACTAGACACTGTAAGGATTTTAGACACTGAACAAGACTATTTCTTGAGAGGGGTGAAGGAAGCCATTTACATCAGGGCCCATCACCCTACATTGAACCGCGACGGGGGCCGACATCGTCTACCAGATACCTTTGACCCAGTGTTGACGTCACACTTCAAAGAAGCCACGTGACAAGCTTCACTGGGTCAGTCTACTGAGGAAGACCAGAGTGACTGGTTGAAAGCTCTAGGTGAGAGAATTTTCGTGTTGGATCAAAAGTTTTAACTTTAAACATGACTGGCTTTAGTTTATTTGTAAAGACTTATATTGGAAGCCACCAGGATGAATTGTGAGTTTCATTACAGCTTTTTCACATTGCTATCAACATGTGAAACTAGAGTTTTGCAATGTCATACCTCCATGAAATGTTTACTGTCTTTCTATATTTTATGCATGGTGATGGCCACCTGTAAATGACTTACAATGTACAATCCTGCTCATGAGTAAACTTTTTATGCAAAATATTCATATGGCCCCAACCTAGTAACACACAACTCGCTGGCTAAATCTTAGTAAGTTTGATATTGTTGGTCATACGCAAGCTAGAGACTAATTTTTCCTCATCAGATGCAAATGAGGTCCTGATTTAAATGAATTACATTTAGTGACGTTCACCCTCACTGAACTTCCAAATTTCTTCTTAGGCCCTTCGCTCCAGCTGGAGCATAGGCCATCGACGACAGATCTCCACTTCACCTGCCTCTGGGCTGTCTTTCTCAGGTCCTCCCAGCTGTTGGCTGCTCTCATCTCCTCCTCAGTGTCTCTTCTCCAACTGTTTCTAGGCCGGCCTCTCTTTCTTCTTGCCTGTGCTGTGGGTTCCATGTTAGAGCCTGGTGTGTTATGCTGGATGGTGCTTTCCTCAGAGTATGGCCTATCCAGCCCCATGGCCATTTCCTTTGTAGAATCTGGGTTTCTGCTGCTTTCTGCCCTGCTCTGTTCCACAGTTCCATGTTGGAGATTCGGCATCTGATTTTATAGATTCTTCTAAGGCAGGTATTCTTTGCTGTGTTGCCTTGGTTGATCTCGAGGTAAGGACAGACTTGACATTGGAGTTAAAGATTCTGAGTTTGGTGGTTGTGCGGGTCTCTCTGGCTGCCCAAATGTTCCTGAGTATGACGAATGCTGAGTCAGACCTACCTTTGCCTATTCCGGATGTCACGTCTCTAGATCTGTCAGATAAAACACAGCATATTTATAGAATTTCTCATTAGTTATGCAAATTAGATCATGATTTGTGATTTAGTTATGTCAGGCATCACTTATCATAAGCTACACATGTACCTATTATACAAAATCATGGCGATCCATCAGCGTTTTTTTAGTAAAATATCCTCCATTGAAGATTTCTGAACACTAGGGGTGAGTCCAGGTCCATAAAAATTTGATCGATCCGGTCCGAAAAAGCGAAACGTCAGTGGACTGTTTTTTGGACCAGAAAAAAACATACTTATACTGACCGTGATGATCACTACACACAAGGAGGCCCCCCAGGATAATTGAACTTCCAGCGTTAAAAAAAGAGATTTAGTTTCTGTCTCATCATTTTGCAACTACGTTATGTTTTGTGCCTATTTCCGTTACCGACAGACATCTAGGAATCAAATTGGAGAAGTCTGCAGGCCGCGTTTGGTTTGGATGGAGCTGAAAATCACTAAGTACATGTACATGTAGGCACCACATGCCCATACTTTGATGCACATAAATTTTCACTCAAAATGAGAAATTAGCGCCCAACAAAACGGGCTGTTACCATGCACTGCTGCATTGCTTTTGTGTACTTGTCAAATCCCAAGGAAAATACAAAGAAACTTCTGTCAATCAGTGCACAAAACAACCATGACGCTATTTGAGAGATTCTGGTCAACCCTATACTTCAGCATAAAAGCCTGGGTGATGATGGAGGGTTGACTTGGACAGTTGCTTTCCAAACTGTAGGCACAGACTTTACCTTTTGTCATTTATATTGGGGCTCTATATAACTCTATACACTTTACACCTCTGATCATACAAGATGTTATGGCCCAAGATGATCCTAATGTTGCACTTTGTTGAATCCTTTTTGTGTTGTGTGTTTGTAAGACTTACAGTGGTACTATTTTTGGGCAGCAAGTAAATTTTATGGATGACATCCTCTGCAGACTCCAGATCTAATGCGATAGGGTGAAAAAAAAAACAAAGCGGGCAAAAAAATCCTTTATTTTCAAATTTTGACATCACAAACCTTGTTAAACAAGAAATGATACCTATACTGTGCTATGTTCACTGCATACTGTTACAGCATCCATTTCTCACTGAAACAACTTTGAAAAATAAAAATTTTCAATCAGTGTACAAAATTGGTTTTGATTCATTGGTAACATCACATGTACACAGCCACCATTACATGTAAAAGGAATGAAATACATCACTGCATCAAAGTAAAAGACAAAACATTAAATCAGAGCCCTGTCTTGTCTCCTTTCATCTTATCTGTGCTATTAATGTTCCGGCATGACAACAGACATCTTTGCCCATTTTCGGCATGTTGACCATTGTCAGACTCGAGGGCAACAAATTTCTTCTTTTTTCCCCCAAAATCGGACGAAAATCAATGTGGACGCTGATGTCATCCTTAAAATTTACTTGCTGTGGCTCACATGTAAGTATAAAGCAAGTTTTCAACAGGTAGGTTGAAATGTTTAAGTTGACAGAGAATGTACAATCTTTGACTTCCTTTTCTTTTTTTTGTGATGTCTTTGATTTACATGTAAGTGCCCACCCCAGGTCGGCCAGAAAAGTCACTCCTAGGCACTTGGCGACGCTTACGACTTCCAGTTGTATCAAGGATGTAATTTTGTCTAGCAGGCACAAAGACTGGCTGTAGCAAACAACAGGCACTGTTTGCATGGGACTAAGTATGTTTCTGTTTTACAACAGGAGAAATACCATCAGCTGGAGACCAAAGAGGCATCTCTGAGGAACACACTCCAGAAACTGCAGACACGACTGGTAGAGAAAGACAGTTTGTCCAGTCAAATGGAGATGGAGAGAGATAACATAGAAAAACAGATGGTGGACTATGTTACAGAAATAACGGTAACCAGTACTAAGCATATATAATTGTCAGTATTAATTTGTCAGTAACATTCAATTTCAGGGAAAACAGACATAGAATTGAGACTATGAAAGAACTAAAGCCCCTGTCACACATTTTTGCGTATGTCCGTCCAAATTTTTCCATTACTGTAAATTCCTGATGAACTTTCCCACTTTTGGAACTTTTCAAAATATTCAAAAAATTTCCGAGGTCCAAACTCTGTTAAGAACCATAAAAAAATCAGGACAGATTCTTTAGTGAAAATTTTAGAAAGAATAATTTCCTTTGCTTGAAGATTTAAGATTTCTTCACAGCTTATCATTTTGTACAAATAACAAATGCATACAAAGCCTGCTGCCATTGGAACCCCAGGCTAGGTAACTATTTTTCAACTTGTTTCCACAACCACTACTCACCTCAGAGCAAATGTAATAAAGATCCAGCATTCTACAGCTTTTTGAATCATGCTTTTGGTATACATACAGACACACACCACAGACACTCCACTGTCACCCTGCCAAATCAAAAAATCTTCTGGAAAAGGCAATTCAGCTGAAGAACAGTTTAACTTTGTCAATGACATTATGAATGGTTTATTTTTCATTCACACAAATAGCCCAGCTTAGAAATGTGACCCTAGCATACAGGAGTGAGAAACCTCAAAGATGTTGAAAACTGTGAGGGAACACTAAAACTAGATGTTCATCAGAGGTGTAAGGAGTTTCACCATGTTGTTTATGTTGTAGAATCTAAAGCGCTGCTTGGAGCTGGAAAGAAATCACCTTCTTCATACGGATATGAAAGCCATCAATTTGTTGGAAGAAGTGCGGCAGCAAGGGAAGCTAGCTCAAGATCTGCAAGACCAGGAGTTTAAGTAAGTGCTACCTTGTGCCTTGATATTTTCAGAATGATGATGTGTCACCTTTGTCTTCAGTAGTTTGCAGATGTATATATAGTGGCAGTGTCATGTGATGCATGTCAATCCTCAGACCCTGGACCATAAAGTCACAGGGTCAATCCCTGCCTTCTCCATTTTCTTGCCACTGGTACATGTTACGATAGCAACAAGATTTCCACAAAGCCCATGCCTATTATCGCCAAATGAGGTTAACCATTATGAGCGACAATTTATTAATATTTCCAGAGTCATTGATAATGCAAAGAAGATCCTCATTTGGGGTCGTGTGGCGTAGCGGAAGAGTGTTCATCTCAGAACCAAGAGGTCCCGGGTTCGAATCCTACCTTGTCACTGATCTTGTGCCCTTGGGAAAAGCACTTTACATGACTTTCCTCACTTTACTCAGGTGAAAATGAGTACCTAGCGTTGGTTAGGGAAGTCCCTCAGATAGGTGTATAGGAGTTATTTTGAGCTTTTGCAAATTGCTACAGTAGAATGCAAAATAGCCATAGCTGGAACAGCAGAGCAGAGCTGGCGTTCTCGGCCACCACGTGTACATTGTACAGTAGGTTAGAAACCAATACAATTTTTTCACCATGATAATGATTGTGAATCACACTGTAGCATTCTGCAAATTCTGTATGCCTAACGTTATTTAGTTTGGATAGAAACAGACAATTGCAGAATGATGTAAACAAGGAAAATCTAAGATTTTATACCTCCGGGTTGTTAGTTATTGAAGGAGGTGTACCTCCTGCAGGAGTATTGTGGTCAGTCAGTTTTTCGTGTTTGCAGCTAAAACACACAGTTCCCTTTGTTTAATCGGCATGTAATTTTATACGTCGTCTGCAAGCATGCCGGTGATGATGCACATACATGTATTTTTATTTTCACCGTAGCTGTTTTCCTGGTCAATGTTAAATTTCAGGAGCACCCCTACATTTAAGGGCATATTGGACTGGCCGAAAAAAGAACACGTTTTGAATAGGCCTAGGGCAAAGGTCAGGAATAGCGCAGGCGCAGAGGGCCCAGTTCTAGTATATAGAGATGGCAATGTAATGTACATGTAGAGTGTAAAGAAATCTTTTTCTTGGGAAATTTTGTTGTTTTGGACTTGGATGTTATAGGTAAGGGTTGTAGTATTTTCATTTTGGTGAAAAAACAGACTTGCAGCCATGCATGTGCTGTCTGGCTCGCTGAAGAAGATATAGGTTTACATGCGGTCATCAGCTGTCCAGAGGGTTCAGGGGTCACTTCTCAATGTTCGGATAGTATTCTCACATGGTTTAGGTGCGTAGGATTTTTTCATTTTTGGTGAATGGAGACTTGAGAGGTTTGACTACCCTGCCAATGTACATGTATGTTCTTCAAGGTCTAAAACTCAGGTATATGAATTTTTGACGACGTTGTTTTGACGTAATTCCCATATATTAACATAGGAAAGCCCTATTACTAGGCTGTGCCCAATAGCGGGCTAGTTTCCTGGTTTCCTTCAGGCAGACATTGGGGTGGGGCTGTAATTAAACAGCTGTGGGTCGCCTGTTCTTATATAAGTATAGGGCTGTTTAATTGTAATAAATACAATGTATGTTTGCAGCTCAAAGTCATAGTTCTCGCTGTTGTATTTCTATGTAATTGGGCATGTGGTTAGCCATTATGTTCATGATGATGCATGTTTTTTTTTTTTCTTAGTAGCAGTTTTCATATTGACGTAAATGCATATTTCAGAAACACCACTATTCAATGACAGTCATGCAGTATATTCTCATTGTTAGACTACACCAATTTGATTGATTTGTTCTAAGATTTTTTCAGGAAAAAAATAAAAACAGACATGGGCATCCTCTGATAGTCCCAAAAGGAGTGAGACAATTTTTTTCAACATATCAGGCTGTTTTATAATAAATTATTCAAACAATGAATTTTGAACTTTTAATGAAACAAATTCGTTTATATTCGAATGAAGGCTCATCTGTGTTGGTAGAATCCATAGTAATAGAGTTCAAGCTTGTTCCAACACAAAGAAATAACTCACCATGAATTTTCGGTTGAACTTGTCAACCATTGTCAGATGAATGATGCACTCGCTGATCACTCTCCGGAAGTCAGAGGCATGATGACGTCAGGAGCACATCAAAAGTGGCGGGAAGACTCTCCCACCATCATGGTTCAGAGAGGGTTGATGGGCCCTGATATAAACTGCTTCCTTCACACCCCTTACAAAGTAGTCCTGCTCCGTATCTAAAATGCGCACCTTGTCAAGTGATACTGTGTGTCCGGGGGACTCAAAATGTATGTGTTGCGACACTTCCGCCGTGCTAGAATGCCTGTGTTCTGAGAATCTAGCCTTGAAAGACCGTTCCATTTCCCCTAATAACTACATGTATGTCTCTGGGCACAGTACTAGTCCTGTGATGTTTTGTCCTGCGCACCGAATTTGGTATACAAAATAATGTATCACCCCACACTTCTGTTCTTTCGGGGTCTTGTCTTTAGGTGCCACTAACAACTATCTTAATGTACGGGTAGGTTTGAAACACGTTTTTATTCCATGTGTCCCAAAAATTCTCTGTAGAGCTTCAGAGGTGTTCTTGACATAAGGTGGGACGACTTAGCCCCCTGTTCTGTCTTGTGGAGGAGTTTGAATTATGTTCACATACATCCTATGTAATACTATGTGATTGTGATTTTTAAAAATGAAGCAGGTTATTCTGAGAAGCAATAATTATAGAATTTGTGTGGCCTAACGTATACAATAGAAAAGTAAATTACCTTTTACTAATTTATCTTCATGTTGAAAGTGGATGTACATTGTACAGACTGATGATTTCCTGTTCCCCCCCAAAAAAAAAATTTTATGGCTCTCAGTGGCCAATATGAGATGTTGTCACATCGGCGCACCAAATCCGTAAGGTGTTTTTGGCACCTTGACAGACAGATTAGCCTAAGAGGCTCGGTGGGCATCACTCCACTGTATAGGTGAGGAAGTCGTGTAAAGTGCTTAATTCCCAAGGGCACAACGTCGGGCCACGGTGGGTATTGAACCCGGTACCTCTCGGTTCCGAGTCCAACGCTCTAACCGTTGCGCCACTGACGCCACGTTTCCTGTTCCAGGGCTGAGATTAATGCCCACAGACAGACCATCTCCCAGCTGGAGCAGGACAGATTTGTGGCAGCGAGGAGGGCGGAGGCGCTGGAGAAGGAGCTGAGGCAAGAACAAAACTCACTGGAGGCTTCCAAACAGAAGGTGGCGGACCTTCAAACAAAGGTTTCCAAGGTTGGCATTAAACTGGCTCTGTTCAGTCATGTTGGAGCAATTGAAGTCATCACTGTCTAACATTGCAGACTTGACTAGGAGTGCATCATCATCATCAGGTCGGGCGAATTGCCTGGACCAAGTCCACTCTTTCTCGCCACGCCGCTCTATCCGCCATTAACTGCCCTAGGTGTTCGGCCCTCACCCCAGCATCTTCAGCAAGTTGGTGGACTAGGAGTGCAACAGGCCGAAAGTGGCCTATTGTTGTCAACTACATGTCAAAAGTGTTTCATAGTCCTATTATTGAACATAGCAGATGTATAGAATTTCCTTATCGAATATGCAAAATAGATCCTGATTTGCATAATTGTAATTTTATTATGTCAAGCATCACTACAGCTACGTACATACCAAAAATAATTACAATGTGTCAACCGATTCTTTAGTCATCCTCTCTTCAAAATTTTGAAACAAACCATTCTGCAGTTCCAGAACAAGCTGCTAATATATATACAAATGTATAATGTATAAGGGCCACAACTCATACAATATTATATTTCTTTCTGAACACAATAGCTATCTACATGTATGAAATGAAAAGATGCGATGAAAAATAATTGAGTTATAACGTCAACCCACACCAATGTCCAAAACAATTACATGTATACCCTTTTGACGAAGGCAACAAATGTATGAACTAAGTTTATACAGTACGCCAAAAAGCAGTTACTCAAGCAACTGGATATGATTTTGAAAACGTCAGACGTTTCAGCTAGTATCCACTAGCTTTCGTCAGTGACTGAGAGACCAGAGGGGAAAACAGGTTATGAAAGATAATATGAAATATTGAATGAAATATTCATGAATATATGAAAGAATGTACAACCCCACCCTCAACAGGGAAGGGGGGCTACGGGTCGATCTTTCCGGCACTTGGGATTTGGCACTCCCAGCCCCGAGAACAGACAACACTTAAGCTCCTGTTCTGTATAACAGGAGCTTTCAGACTAATTTGCATCATCTTGTCTTGACTTGTCTGACTTTTGTTCCTTTTTCGACTTCCAAAAATTTGTCTTCACTTTATTTGCATATCAATCAGTAGGTTGTGCTTATAAACCTGTTTTCCCCTCTGGTCTCTCAGTCACTGACGAAAGCTAGTGGATACTAGCTGAAACGTCTGACGTTTTCAAAATCATATCCAGTTGCTTGAGTAACTGCTTTTTGGCGTATCGTATTACCTGGATGTCTAACCTTCATCGACGTAAGTTTATACAGTATTACTTATCTGAAACTGTTTGTGTCTCTTAAATGATGTTGCTTTCAGAATTTTAGGCCTAACACTTGAGTAATGGAAACCTGTCTAAAACTATTCTTGTTTGTGTTTTTTAGCTTACAGCAGACAGCATAGCCAAAACAAGTGAGCTTCAGGAAAAGTTGGCAGAAGTAAGTTACTTTAGGCCACATTAATTTGATTTGTTGGTTTGACAAGAGACGAAAAAAATAAAAACAGCCCTATAGGCATCCCATGATAGCCCCAATTGCTACATGTATGACAGGAGCCAAAATCAAATCAACTTTATTGCTCAACAACTATAACTGGTAGAATGTATGGCAAAAAGAAATACATTGAATTTGTAACAAGGAGCCATGACGTCAACATACCAGGCTGGTTTGCAATTCAAACAATGAATTTCAAACTTTTAATCAAACCACTGCATTGATACATTGTGTAGATAGAAAAACTGTAACAACTGTGAAAAGAAGGGACTTCCTTCAACGGCTGTGGCCAAAATATGATTTATTAAGCATTTTGAAGTTGATTCAGAGGCTTAAATGTTGTTTTTTGCAAATCGGAAAAAATGAAGCGACTGAATCTGTGAACCAACAAATTAGATTGGTGTGGTCTTACAAATGTATCTTGTGTTAATGACACCAAAATTCAACATTCAACATTCAACTAGCTCTATATATTTATCCACGAATGTACATTGTAGTTTAAACAGATATAGAGAGTGTGAGATCATCAATGAAAATTACACTTACATGTACCAACATGTCACTGCACGAAATCCTATCTTTAATAAAACCATTTTTAAAGGTAACACTTACAGTTACAGTTGGGACCTTTACACAGAAATAATGTATTTTGTGCAGTGTGTATGTTGCTGGCAGGGGTATTGCCTCCCTCGTGTTACCGCTGGCCTGGTGGAGTCTGACTGAACCCATGTGGCATTAGAGGTCGGGGACCCGGCAGATAATTACCTACTTTGATCCCGAGGGTCCCAAAGATCCATTGTCCGGAATATAGCCTACACTACTGTAGTTAATATATATAACTCAGCAAGGCCATGTTGATTTGATTAATATATGGATGACATCCTCTGAGAACCCCAAAACTGTCATGCTAGCGTGTGAATGAAAAAAGTTTGGCAAAAAAGTTGAAATCTATGTGGTCATGAAGTTTGAACAAACACAGAGTATAGTATGGCAAAAAAATTAGACTCTTCATTTTCATTTCTTCACATTTTCTTATTTTCCTTAGTTGGAATTGGCATTCTATGACATTAGTATCCTTTTCCAATATTTCAATATTGCAATTTATGGTAAATATTTGCTAATTTACCTGCTTGTACCATTTGTTTTGGGAAGCGGACAAAATTCATGCATAAACTATGCAGATGTCATCCATAATATATTATAATCAAATCAATATGGCCCAACTAAAAACACAACAAATTGCTCCTTCTATTGCAATCTTTGCAGGGCTTTCGCGAGAAGGAGGCTCATAGGGAAAACAAGGAGCATGAACTTCAGGCCAGAATCGAATTTCTGGAAAACAAACTTAAAATGACTGAAGCCAAACATAGTGCAGGAAAAGAGGAGACCATCAGACTACGAGAGGAGCTGAGGGCTCAGACGCTGACCACTGTAGAGAAAACAAAGGTAATGTGCCAAGTCTTTTACCTCTGTGAAAATGAAGTTTTGGATGCGAACCTGTGTGACCTGTATAATTTACAATTGTACATGAGTATACACTTATGAGAGCAGCGCCAGGCGGGCTGGCGTGATCAAGGCGGACCTTGAGCGTAACCAAGTCATCAGGCACCTCGCTGCAGGCATCCCAACCGGAACCAGCACATCTCCCTCGATATCGATCCACTGGGGAAGACGGATGCCCAAAGTGTTTGTGTCTCAGATTCGCAACCTGTTATCCACCTTAAACAAATCCAAGCAAAGGCCACCGTGTCAACCCTCCTCACTCAGATGTAGGAACTGACACGGTCTCCATTGTTTTTTGAAACAGAAGGATGCCAAGAAACACTTACAATGTAACTGAATTGATATGTAAATGAGGAAATTCAAGAACTATAAAGTCCCGTATAAAGTGTTCACTTGTTGAACTTTTCAAAGTCCAAAGTGTCTCAGACTGTCGCCAAAGTCGTGGTGCGTACTTTATTTGAGGTTTGACACCCAGTGCTCAGTCATGCTGACGGGATGGTTTGCCAGCCAGCCGTTCTCAGTGGAAAGCAAAAAGTGTTGAATACATGTACACATGTATGTACATTTTTGGCTCCTAATATTAAATTAACAAAATGACCTGAAGAACCCTTTTACTAGAAAAATAGGAGGGGAGGTTTTTAGAATATTTGTTAGCTAAAAAGAAGTACATGGGGATCTCTAAGAACACTGAAAACACAAATACTTGAAGATAAAGCAGCCATCATAGGATTCGAAGAGATTGGGCCAATTTTTTGTGTGCCTTTCTCGGTCCTGATTTCCCCCCATTGCTGTACATACAACTGTGTGCTGTCTGCGTGTGAAAACGTGGGAAAATGTTGGGATCTGTAAGTGGCGAGTACCGCCTTCGTACAGAATCCAACAGATTTGGGAGCACACAGATACACCTGTAGCACTTACGTTCATGCAGAACTTTTCCTGCTTTCGGGCTGCGGACTCACCCCCCGTGCGAGCCCTGTACAACATGCGAGTGAGGAAACCGTACATAAGCAGTTTATAAGTATGGCCTGTAAATATGCACAGTAACATGACAATCGTACGCTGTAAGCACTTACAACTCACCACTTGAGCAATGAATGATGCATTCAACTGCTCACGGCCAGGCATGTACTCCCTCCCTGCTCTAGCTTGCCCACGTGTTCAGAAAAACATGGCGGATGTGGCCTCCCAATAAAACCTATAGACAAAAAACAGGTACGGTGGGTTGTGACCCTTGCTTAAGCCGACCACTTGTCCAACCCAAATGCAACAACCACAATAATTTATATATAGTACATCCACTGGGGAAAGATCAGGACCAAGAAAAAAGGGCCGTTATGTACATGTGTCGGTTAGAAAAGTTCTACTGTACCTGCTTTGTACAATCTAATATCTCTTTTTCAGCTGGTAAGTACGTTAGAGTCCAAAGTGCAGGCATTGGAGGGTCACGTGACAAAACAGAAGCAAGTTGAGGAGAGAAGACAGGACACATGGTCCAAGTGAGTCAACTTATTAATTATATTATAGCATAATGGGCCAAGTGTCTGCATTAAAAACAGGAGGAAAACTTGAAATTGATGAAAAAGAAAAGCAAACTGGAGCACAGTGCACTGTACATGTACATGTATGTGTACACATGTATGTGTGCAGCTGACAATGTAACAACAGACACAAAGTCTTGACTCAGCTGATGTTACATGTAAATTTAATACATGTAATGTATAAATACATGATGGTTTATACAAGGCCCAGGAATTGTGCTCTAACATACTAGTATAGTACAGCACACACATGATACATGTGCCACTGCGAACACGAAAAATCACCTGACCACAATACTCCTAAAGGAGATATACCTCCTTCACTGAGTAATAAAGGAACGTGCATCACCTGCAGCCTAATAGCAAAACGTATACCGAGTCCAAAAAAAAACAACGTTCACCCCACTGCGAGAAACAGCTGCGAACATGAAAACTGCGACCAGTTATAGTACCTCTCCTTCCCTGGAGGTAAAAACAGACTGTAGAGGGACTGGAACTGGAAACTGATTGGAAGAAGACTAATAGTAGGTTCATGTACAGGTGACACGGCTCGAAATCCTTTTTTTCAGGTATGTGCAAAATTGCACGTTGGCAAAAGTTTTAGGTGCAATTTGAAAAATTTACGTGCAAAATGATATTTAGTCCATTTGCAACGGTTACTGTTTTACTGTGTATAAACCTTCTTAGCCTGTCACAGCATACAAAACTTTATATATCTTAAAGTTTCCATATAGCTACTCAAATGTTTTGGTTACTGTACAGCCAGTGAGGACAGAGGTTCGTTGACCTTAGACTTGAAAAGTTTTTTTGACAACATCATAGATTTTTTGACAACATCATATCTCAGCCAAGGCCACCCTGTTTTGAAAGCTGTACACGATTTCTTTTTCAGGTGGATCCTGCAAAAATTATGTAAACCCACAATAAATCAAACTGACCTTCCTAACTTTGTGTAATTTGGATGATGATTTAACTTTCAAGAAAAAAATAAATAAAAAATCTTATTTATTTGAATTGAAACAAGAAGATAAATATCAAAAGAAACTTCAAAGATACACAGTGCAAACATGATACCAGTATTTTCTAGGTGTAAGATTGCACATTCAAACTATTTTTATGTGCAAATCTTGAGAATCGTGTTCATTTTGCACATTGCACATGGGTATTTCGTGCCTTGCGGTGAGCACCTTGATTGGTTGTACTGTACTACATGTAACAAATGTACATGTAGCATTATTTGTAAATTGTGTTTTTGTTTCCAGGATTGTATTTTCCACTGTGTGCCCAGGTATGCCTGAAAAAAAACAGATCTGTAGATCTGAGACACACTCTGGATAGATAGATAAACTCGAAACTTAAATTTGAGGCCAGAGCCTCGGAGGGAGCAACAAGAGGTGATTTTTTTAGAATAGACGAAAATCAAGGCTCGCAAATGTCATCAGTGTGGCCTTAGCTGTAAATGATGGAATATCATACTACTAGTCTAGTGACACATAGGTTACATAAAGGTGAATATTATTAAACATAAATTGTGAAAATTTTGAAAAAGTTATCGGTAAATTATAGAGATTTCTTACTTGTTACATGCATGAGCATTTCAAGTAAGTATATCAAATGCATGCATATCAGGTGATATCCAATTCCATGATATTGTTTGATATCTCTTAATGGAATGTCACAGACAGCAGGATGTAATGGAGGAGATCCAACATCAGAACCAGCAGCTAGCAGTACAGAAGCACCACCTAGCAGAGCAGCTCACAAACTGCAGGGAAGCAGAGGAAAAACTGGCACTGGAGCTGAAGAACAAAACAACCCTACTATATGAGAAGACAGAGGTATGTTTATCTCTCAATTTTGATGATTTTGATCTTACCTATCTGAGGCTACGGTCACAACCCGCCGTACGTGCTTCTGCGTGCTGTCTACTTGCAAAAATGTGGGCAAACGTAGAGTATCCGTGCGTGGTGAGTACCGCCTCCGTACGGAATCTTACAGATTTGGGAGCACGCAGACACGCCATAGAATTTTTAAGTGCATGTAAAACTTTTTCTGCGTGCGGTCTGCGGATTCACCACCCGTGCGTGCGAGTACGAGCGACGCGCGTGCCCCGTACATGCCGTGTGGAAGAAGCACGTGTGAGTACACTCACTGTAGCCTCCTTACGGTAAAGTTGCAATCGCACAGAGATTGTACGTTGTAAGCACGTACAACTCACCATTTGCGCAACGTACGATGCACGCAACCGCTCACGGCCAGACTTGGTGTGCAGACCACACGCTTATACTTTGCGCAATCGTGCGAGTGACGTGCGTCAACGCCACTCCTTCCCCACGTTTTCGGAAAAAACGTAGCAGACATGGCCTCCCAAAAAACGTACGGACAAAAGGCACGCACGGCGGGTTGTGACCGAGGCTTGAGTGCTTCCAGTGCACGTGACTTCAGTTCAGGGACAATACTCGGGTCTCTTGTGGGGTACCTCAGGGAAGTATTTTAGATGAAATTATTTCTGGATGATATACATACCATGATAACACAATGATGTACTACACACCCCAAGAAAGATGCTCCTTTTAGTTTAGCACACATTTAGAATGTTACGGGTATGGAGCAGTCTACATTATTACAGCTGAATTGATCAGATGAACAAACATTACAATGTCTGCAATAATTTTTTCGGAACTTTGAATGTGATAAGACGAAAACTTGCTTTTCTTCTGAATCTCCTGCCATACATGTACGCATGTATAATTCCGTTAACACCTCCATTCTGAGACGTGAACTTTTGCAACAGTGAACATAAAGTGAACTAGAGAGGCCGACATTTGCTTGGGAGCAAATACAGCATATTTCAGTCCATCTCCCTCCCACGTAAAAGTGGACTATTCCAAACTTACCCCAGTGTAAAACTGGCAAAGATTCTCAAATAAATGAATTATATAGTAGCCATGTAATTGAGAACAAAGATGCAACAACAAGCACATTGAATCTCGAAAGCTTTACTAATCTTCTTACAGGTATGCAAATGCTAACAATGATGAGATTTGATGCATTTTGAAGGTCTTAGGCACATAAAATTGAATGTGTGGGTCATTACGCACGACTTACGTGCAATGTGACCTCAGGTAACCCGCAATGGAACACCTGTTCCATGGCCAACGGCAGATAGAACGTGCCATTCTTTAGATAGAACATGGAACGG